ACACCCAGGAGCTTCCTTGACTGCTCAAGGGAACATTCACTCCTTGCCCAAAGTAGGCAGGGTTCTTTGGACTCTGCACAGATCAATACTCACATGTCAAAAGCACTGAACTCCAATGTCAGGCGGGTGGGCAGGCCAGCAGAGTCACCTGTGTGAAACATTATATCTCAGTGACAAATCGGAGTGGTAGTACCCAGGTAAAAACATCGATGGCTAGTCAAGTCCTTTTATTTGAAAATTGAGCCCAGGGGCCCTATCCAAGTCTGCTAACCCATGACATGCAGATAACATGTAAACAGATAACAATGGATCTTGAGAGAGACTGACAGGGAGGGATTTGTAACCAGTATAAAACTATACCCTGAGAATTCCCCACCCCCACCCCTACCCTCTGCGCGCGCACACACACCGGAAGCTAGCTGAGCACTGTTTAATACAACTTGAGTTTCACCACTCCTTTTTTTCTCCCTAGAGGGATTTTTTTTTTAAATGACTTAGGGGCAAATGTCAAGAAAGACACAAGAAGCTAAAAAACTGTGGATGTAAAGGACAAGCATGTCCCTCATCGAGCATCCATGAGGTGCTGGGTTCCATCCCCAGCACTCTAAAAGTAATAGTAACAAGTGCCGAATGAGGGCTGCTGTCTCCACAGAGGAAGGACGAGAACACAGGGATTGGGGTGAGGCAGGCACCTACCATTGTAGTAGTAGCCCTTGATGTCCTTGGGGGTCTCGTCCAGGCGATACTCGTTCAATTTCTTCTGGGTTAGTTCATGCCAGAAGCCAACATCCAGGGCACTATTAAAGGGGGCGAACTGCAGCTTGGACAGTCCAGGGTCCCCCATGGCCACTGTTCTTACCTGTCTACCAAAACCAAAAACCAAAAACCAAAAAACAGAGCTTAAGTAAAGCAAACCATTGGGGTTGGAAAAATGGCTGAATGGCTAAGCACATCTGCTACTTTTGCAGGTTTAGTTCCCAGAACCCACAGGGGGCCTTTACACCTACCTGCAGCTCCAGTACCAGGAGACCCAATGCTCTTTTCTCCTTTGGCTTCTGCATGAATGCAGTGCACATAAACTCACTGAGGCTCACACACACACACATAAATATAACAAATAAATCTTTTCTTGAAACAACTAACCAAAGGCAGTTCCAGTGTATAGGCTCCCTTAAGACACGGCTCCTAGAGTGCACAGTCACTCTACCCAGGGTGTAATGTTCACTCACAGACCTCTGGAGCCGGTCCAACTCCTGACAACAGTGCTCTGCACCTTTTACTTATCATCATCATCATCATCATCATCATCATCATCATCATCATCACTAATTTTTTTAGACAGAGTCTCTCTACATAGCCCTAGCTGTCTTAGAACTTGCTTTGTAGACCAGGCTGGCCTCGAACTCACAGAGATCTGCCTGTCTCTGCCTCCCGAGTGCTGGGATTAAAGGCATGAACCACCATGCCCATCTCTGCACCCTAGTAGTTCCCTGTCCCTCTCCCAGGCGCCCAGCACCCACCACTCTGTCACTGTGAGACTGACACCACAGATCCCTTAGCGAAGAGGACTCATGAATGACTTAAACTTTTGTGGCTGGCTTATTTTACTTAAGATACAACTTTGAAAATATCCTGAAGAATTTGTCAAGTTCAGTCTCTTATAGGAGTAATTCGTATAAGCATCCTTTCTGGCATTAACTTCTTGCATCCTGTGTTAGTGATGAGTGTTCACCCAGGCTCCCTCCCACTTGAGGCAAGCACTGGAACCCTGAACTGCACCCTCGACTCTGCCCGACTCCCTTTCTCATGAGTCAGCTGAGGACTGACTCCTTGGAGACTGTCACAGGCCAGGCATCCAAAAGCCAAAGTCCCGTCGGTCCGTCCGTCCGTCCGTCAGAATGTGGCGATCTGAGCCAGGTGTGGTGGCACAGTCTGTCATCCTAACCCCTGGAAGATGGAGGCAGGAGGATCAAGAGGTCAAGATCATCTTAGGCTACTTAGTGAATTCGAGGCCAATCTGGACTACATAAGACCCTGTTGGAAAGAAGGCAGGGAAGGAAAAGAAAAACAAAAAGAAAAGGCAAGAAAGGAGGGACAGAGGAGGAGGAAGACCAAGCTGGAATTCTGCCTGTCTGAGATCCGTGCTGAGCACTCCAGCTGAGGTGCTTTAATTCCTTTAAAATCTTCAAGTTGTTTCTCTTTTTTCCCTCCCCACAGGGTCTGTGCTGGGG